CTTAACATTTAAAAAGTGACATTTTTATGAGCTCCGAGTCACCGAGAAAACTTGGTCAGATTAGCAGCTTACTTCCCTGAGGAGGATGGAAGCGTTACATACATCAGGTTCAAAAACAACGAACCTGGAATTGCGTACAAAATTCGCAATTACAATGACCATGGAAGAGTACGAAAGGTTCCTACAAGAGAAACCAGCTCTAAACAACTCAGAAAAGAAAGAATAAAAAGTTTAACTCGTAATTGTTTATTTTTTACTTGTATGGCAAGCTGCAAGAATGAAGTCGACTATCTCAGTCTTTGTTTTGACGAGCTGGACGGCTCTTGCGAGTACGTCTGTTTTGCGGTCTCCAGCTGGTGTCTGACCTTCGTAATTGCGCATGTTCTTGAGAGCTCCAACTGTAAATGATTGTAGGATGAAGAGTCTCTCAGACTGCTTGAGGTAGTCTTCACGGTCACGACTGAATCTGTGGTACGAGTCGAATCGGTCGATTTGAGGGAAGAGACTGAAAGCCTGTCATCTTCCATAGGGGCTGTGGCATAATCTTTGCGTAAACGGTTCAGACCTTCTTCGAACTCTTTGGTCTCTCTTCGATTTGGATTGAGATTGGAATTGCTGGGTGGAGCTTGCTGGAACATCCAAGGGTTGGGAAGTAAGGCATAGGCTGAGGAGGGTAGTTCGGGAAGCCTTGTAGTGGAAATTGGTAGTAACCTTGAGTGGAAATTGGTAGTAATTTGGTGGACGACTTGCTGGAACTGAGGTTGCTGAGGAGACTGTTGTGGTTCTTTAGGTTCCTCTGGTTTGGGAATGGACTCGGTTGGTGGGACGTCGGACATTCGTTTGTGGCTTAACCGTCGGACCACAACGATAAAAATCTCTGCTACTAGCAGTACTGCTACTGACAGTAGCAGTACTTTTACTGACAGTAGCAGTACTTTTTCTGACAGTAGCAGTACTTTTACTGACAGTAGCAGTACTTTTTCTGACAGTAGCAGTACTTTTACTGACAGTAGCAGTACTTTTTCTGACAGTAGCAGTACTTTTACTGACAGTAGCAGTACTTTTACTGACAGTAGCAGTACTTTATCGTCGAAAACCCTCTCAAATTTTCCTTTTTACTGACAGTAGCAGTACTTTTACTGACAGTAGCAGTACTTTTACTGACAGTAGCAGTACTTTTACTGACAGTAGCAGTACTTTTTCTGACAGTAGCAGTACTTTTTCTGACAGTAGCAATGGTCGAGGTCGAACCTACCGACGAGGCAATTTACCTAATTGAAATTAACGAGCTTGTTAAAGACTTCCTCAGGCAGAATGTAAAAGGCAAGCTTGTTAATGGTTGGATAACGGGAAGGGCTGCCTTGAATCTCGAGACTTCGACTGGAATTCCAATTCAAATACCAGACGGGACAGCCTACGACGACATAAAGCAAGCAAAGAAAGAAGCTCTTCTCAAGTTCTTTGCAAAGCGTCCTTGGATACTACTTCCAAACAGAGAGAACCCTTTCCCAAGAATGAGCCAAATTCTCAAGGGTCTCCTTCACTTCTCGGGTCAGCCGTTCTACATAACCTGTGAAGGCGACATCCAACCAGTTCAGTAAACCTTAACGTTTAGAGTAAAAACATTCTTTTTTCATTTTTTGAATGAAGCAAGTTAAATTCGTCCCACACCAATCTCAATGGACCGATGAAGAGTTTCAAGCCATCGTTGAAGACGTGAGAACGACATAGACGGCGAACTTGAAGGAGCTCAAATCACATTGCAACCAAAATTGCAGAAGTCAAGGAACAGATAGCTCCACTTAAAGAAGCTACACAAAGCTTACTCTTGACCTCATGGATAGTTACCTTTAGATGTCAAGAGTGGAATAAGACAATTAAAATTAAAACTTCTAAACTACGAAGCTATACTCCAAAAGTTAGCAGAAAATGAGAAGACTTTACCAGAGCTACTTACATGTAAGGGACTTACCTTCAAGCAGTCCGACCAAAGATGAATTTGTTGACATTGTCCCAATTTTGTCCGAAAGTCAGCTCAGATGTTTCGAACTGCTCCCAACATATCCGGAATATGAACGTTTGCCTGAACTCTTCCGCAATCTCAAAAAACGTTTTTTGGTTCTCATGTTCGAAACTTTATCGGAAGAGACAACAAACGTTCAGAAGAAGAACAAGATATTATTAAACTTGTTGTATGACATAACTGTCATAACAAGCTTTTTGAAGTAAAACCGTCATTCTCAAACCACTTCATTTTTTCGATGTCCGAACAAGCACCGAAGCCAAACTCAATGGCAGATGTCCTTTCAAGGTTGCCAGACAAGCGCCCAGTTCAACTTCAAATTGTCCAATTGAACGCTCATCTGTCAAACACCATTAAGACTTTCCAAAGTAGTCTTATGGAAGAGATAACCAATCTCAAAGTCGAAGTCCTCACGAACCAAGCTTCCAATAAGAAAGTCCTGAACGATTTCGCGGAAACCTTGCGCCAATACAACATAGAGAACCAAAACCTTGCCCGACTCATCTACCGTTTCTTCGAAGAGATAGACGCCATCTGGAAGGTACTCGGAAAGGACAGAACATGCAACACCGTACTTCGTGAGTACCAAATTGAAGAAGGAATTGTCGAGGAAGAAGAGGAAGAAAAGAAACACGAAGAAGAAGAGGAAGAAGATGAAGAAGAGAAACACGAAGAAGAGGAAGTTTGGGCAACCCTTGTTGCCGATGACGCTTACGAAATTTCCCAACCCTACCCATACCAAATCCGGAACAAGGAGACAGGCAAGGTTCTTACCCCAGTCCTCAACAACTTGGGACACTTGAACCTTAACCTTCGGAATTACGGTTCAATTTCCATGGAAGGCTTGTCGGTATGCAATGGGTTCCAAATCCATACAAGAAGACGAGGGTCAGACACATTGACGGTGACAAGCTCAACAACCGTAAGGAGAACCTCGAGTGGTTCTAAGAGTAAAAAAATTTTATTTTAGGGGGAAACCCCAAGTAAATTTAGGTGTTTATTTGGATAAGTATGTTAAATTAAGGGTAATTTGCAAAATTAGTTCCCGACCTTTGAATTGGGCTCTTTCGTTATCCCAGTTGCGTAGGAGGTCGTCCCAGAGGAGTTGGTAGAATTGCCAATCCAAGGACGATTTGTCCTCCCAGGCATTGAGGATGTACTGCTCGTAGAGTTTCATGACCTCTGCCTTGCACCAGACACCCTCTCCCTTGGAACGTAAGGCTTCTTCGAAGTGCTCGAATGCGATTGGCTGCTTGACCATCCGAAATGACACTTTTTGTCCGTTTGGTCAATGTTTGTGTCTCGTGCCATAGTCGACGAAAATACAGACAAACAGGTTATATATGAGTTTGAGACCAAGAATGGTGTAACTCGACCTGTCCGATTCAAAGACTCCGAGGGCGACCATGAAATTAAACGGAAATTAGCTAGGAAGGAATATAAAATGGACTGGTTGCCACCACCTCCACCTCCACCACCTTTACCTGTTCCTCAAGTAAATAAGCCTTTCCCGTTCCAAGAATTCCCACATTTTAATTCAAATTCGAATAAAAATTTTTATTTCATGCAATGTTTTATTTTTGTGCCGTCTTCAAGTATGCCCCAGTACTTACGCTTGGAGAGGACATGAACTTCGGTGAAAATTTTGTCCAATTTGAATTGACCCATCTTTTCACCGACCATTCCCATTTCAATGAGTTTGTTGTATCCTTCTTCGTTCGTCATGAGTGCGTCAATGTTCTCATAGTAAACCTTCACTTTGGATTTGACTTCGGAGAAGAATTTTTGTTGTAGTTGTCAAGGACTGCCTTTGCGAACTGAGGGTAAGACCAATGTTCGACAATAGGTTTTAATGTGGTTACTAAGCCACTTTGACCTTGAGTGAATTCGTACTTCAAAACAAAAGGAGAAAACCTTTCAACAAAGTTGTCGACCTTCTCATAATGTTTACTCTTCATCTCTTGAGGTTTCTTAATGGAATATCCCCATGTCGAATTCATAAGCAATTTGAGTGTCATTGCAAGTTTGGGGTTTGAAGCTTTCCTAATATCATACAGTTGTTGTATGACTTTTCCAACTGTATAGTTCCTTCCCGGGAACTCACCATCTTCGTTTGGAATTCCAGTCGGAATATATTGGACAAACCTCATGTATGCAGCGTTAAGGTCGACATAGTATATCTTTTCGTTTGAGTCGAACTTGTCGCAACCAATTGGTCCAGTTTGTGGAAATTCAAGTGAGTCTCTTATCTTCTGAGAAACTTCTCCTTTATCTCATAAACATCGTCGAAGCAACCTGTTTCATATAAAACCTTCTGACCTAACTCAGATGCTCTCCAATACAATTTGACGTCAATTGGATGTCTCAATGGAAGTTTGTTTATAGCATCTTGAAGTTCTTGCAACCTCATTGGAAGTTCTTCTGGTTCAGGTTGGTATCCGAACAATCCAACTCCTTTTGGAATTGTGTACTTCTTTTGTACTAGAACTTTGTCTGGAACAACTTTTGGTCTTGCTAACAATGAAAAGTTTGTTTCGTCTTTTGGTACAAAAGTTTCTGTCAGCTTGTCATCTGGAATTGGTTCCAACAAACCTTTCTCGAAAAGAATGTTTACAGCTCTGACAATGTTGCACTTGCCTTTTCCGAACAATGGGTTTGTAAGACTTTCGTTCAACATGAAGTGGTTGTGGACAATTGCAATCTTCAACCATGGTAATTGAACTCAACAACATAGTCGTCATGTGAAGAACCTTTAGCTGTAGTATGTTGACTCGGATATTGACATTTGCCAACGGTGCAATTTTTGCCAATTGACCTCTGAGAATGTACCTTGTCTTCACACATGACTCAAGATACTTCATCTTCTCATCTGTAACAAGACCAGAGTTCCTGAGACATGTAAGAATGCAAGGTTCATTGACAATTGTTTCAATTGAATTGTAAATTCCATACCTTGTCAAGTCAATGTCAGACTTATTTATGAACGGAAAGTATCCAGCATGTTGTCTGACTGCTTGAGGGTTAGGTTGGTACCATTCGAACTTGACACTTGCAATTCCTTCAATTGCATTCAAAATGTCTGAGTCGGAGTCAACCATTTGTTCTCTCTTTGTAGTCTTGAAAGCGTCAAGAAGTTTTGCAGCTGTTTGTTCATTGCCATTTGCATAGTAAATGTGACCATCCAAATCCGTTATGGTCAATCTGAGATTGTGTCCTTTCTTATTTCCGTCTTGTATGGCAGCAAGTACTCCCATGAAGCCTTCTTTGTTCTTTCCTTCGTCAAGGTTTACTGTAAAGGTTCGACCAGATGTAATTTGACTTCTAACTTCACGATACTTTTCATATGCATATCTTGTTCTTTCCATGGGAGCATGTGTCTTCACCTTTTCCTTTTTCCTTCTCAAAGGATGCAATTGTTCGTCATGTTTCCAGTAGAATCTGGCAAAGCCGTCGTGTCCTTCAACTTGAGGTTCACTAACATCGAAAGGCATGTTCATAAGACGTTCTTCTTCTAACCTCTCTAGTCTGTTTGGATAATTTGCACGTGCTGTTTCCAAATCCATTTCGTAGCGAAGACCAGCCAGTTTGTCATAGACTTTTATGGGTCTTCCCTTCCTATATTTAAAATTCTTCGAAACTCTCCAACCATATCTTTGCAACTCTGCTTTTATTCTAGCAGATTTTCTATCCATTCTATATGGGGGCATTTTTATAAAAATAAAAAAAATGTTTTTTTTTCTTTACTTAACATAACCGCCTGCTGCCATAAGTCTTTGACGCCAACCCATACCAGCTAATGAAGGTTGACTTGGTTTAGTTTGGAAACTAAACTTTGGTTTTGGTTTATCTTCAGTTTTTGGTTTATCTTCAGTTTTTGGTTTATCTTCAGTTTTTGGTTTCTCTTCTTCTATCGGTTTTTCGTCACTTTTCGGTTCCTCTGACTTTACTTCACCTGCAGGAACAGTTGTGTCGTCAACATCTTCATAAATATCATATGCCATTTGTTTTTGTTTTCCTTTCAACTTTTTGTGTTTGTTGTAAAGTTTAGAATATTTCGACTCTAAGTCAATGAGATGTTCTATAATGAACTTGGTCAGTGAAGTAAACTTTTCCATCTGTTGTCTCGAAAGCTCCTTCAGACTTCAATATTTTATTTGTGAGAGTCTGTTTCTTTTTGAGATACTAAGCCGTTCCATTTCTATGAAAAGTGACTTTATAGTTAGGGTTTGTATTTCCAGACCTGGCACTTTCTATTATTGAATTTTTCTCTTCATCTGTAAGTTCTTTGACAGGTTTTGACAATGGTTCTGAACTTTTTGTTTGTGGTGTCAAATCTACCGTTTCAACTTCTTCGGTCATTTCATCTCAGTAAAAAAATTTAGTTTGGTTTGTTTTCAACTGGTTGTTTAGGTTTTTAAGTCGGTCTAAAAACTTCCTGAGGTATAGGAAGAATTGACAAACACGTTGTGTAACTGCTGGAAGTCGACAAATCCATCTTGAACCCATTTGTCTCAATGCTGTATTGTTCATTTCATCTCAGTAAAAAACTTTACATTCCCCACGTTTGAGGCGGTTGAGGTTGGTTATTGTTTACCCATTGTTGTGCATGGTTATATCCTCTGTTAAAGAATCTTTCACCTTGGTCCATATAGTGTCCTGCTTGGTTATAGTAGTCATTTGCTTTGTTATAATAGTTTCCTGCTTGTCTTCCTACATTGTCCATCCATCCTTGAACTTTTCCTCTTGTTTCAGGATTTGGAATAAGATTTGTTGCATCTCGTGCTACATCCCAACCTTTCTGTACAGTTTGTATAATAGGTTGTGCTTTCTCTTTCAGTATACCTAATGTACTCAAAATCTTCCTTCCAATTCCAAATGCACCTCTAGCTATTGTTCCCACTGCGGGTAAAAATCTGGATGCAACTCCAGCTAATGCGCCAAATAAACCCATTTCTTATGGGTTAAAAAATGACGAATCCAAACAAGGACCCCTATGTTTCTAAGGCAACAAAGAAAGCACTCATGGTAAAAATCTTTAGTTCAACACCAAATGCTTGGTTTATGGATATCTTGGAAAACATTCCGAGGTATAGAGAAGATGGACCACCATACTGGCTAATATTTGTTGGTCAAAACACAAGATACTGTGAAGCCATACCATTATGGTCCAAAAATATTTAGATGTGAAAACTGCTTTGACAATATTCGTTGACAAATACCATCCAACAAAACTGACATCTGACTGTGAAAGTTCTTTCAAATCAGATGATGTAAAAACTATCTGCGTTCAAAAAATGTAAACCAATATTTCATTGTCGACCAAAACCATTCTGCTCTTGGTGTCATTGACGGTTGTATAAAAATGTTAAGAGACTTAAACCAACCACAAGGTGGTGAAGCAAATTGAATGTCATATGACGACAAAGTATAGACACTTCTCCATGGCAAAGATGAACAAGTTTTAAATATTTACAATAGCCGTAAAAAAAAGGTTTGGGAAACCACTCCCCCGAAGAAATGAAAAACAACCCTGACTTAGAGAAAGACTATATATTTAATAATTTAGTCAAAAGAGACAAACAAGAAAGAATGCCGGGCTTCAAACTTAAGAAAGGTGACAAAGTAAAAATAGAAATACCTAAACGCGACCCATATGAAAATACTATTGACTATGACAACAATGGGAACCGACAGGTACTCACATTCGTGTTCGTAAAAATAGAAGAAAGTATACAAGAGAATATTATGAAGTTTTAGGCAAACATGGCAAAATGTACACACTGCAAGCAGAAGATAAAACTACTATTGTCAGACCTCGTTTCAAACTTGTCAAAGTTCAAGGTGGTATACTTTCAAAGACAGTTCCTAACAAATATAAGACAACTCCTGACGAATATGCTAAAGAAGTTGAAAATGACGACTAAGCAATTCTATACCATGCGTAAACTGTCATGTAAGGTGGCATGTATTCTTTACTTTGTCCCGTTGTTTGCGTATATCCTGTAACGCGATGTGTATGGTTTCCTCCTCCCTCAGTGTTACTCCAGTAACAATTTATAGCAAACTTAACGTCGTCTTTAACATCATATCCTTTACCTTTTGTCATTGCTGACCAATCCCAATATCTATGCTTATGCCAACCTGCTTGAGATGTACTTAAATCTATGTAGTGACTGTGTGCAGGTAAATTTTCACCTGAAATCGTTTTACTTCCACCTGTTTCCTTTGAAGAGTTTGCACAATACAAAAACCTGTCGACTATTTGTTCCCATGCACCAACACCAAACATTACTTGAGGACCTCTTGCTTCCATAGATGTATAAATAGAACCTACTGGGTTCATTAAATCAAACATATGAGATATTATAGGATTGCCTCTTTTGAACTTAAAATATAGTGCAACTATTTCAGGTTTCTTCTGGTTTGTGTCAGAATATTTTTTATAATATAATCTTATGTTTTCGGGGTAGGTAAAATCTTGACTATAATATTTATTTCTGTCATCTTCATAATAGTATACTATTCTCGTTTTTTCTATTGCATTATATCTTTTATATCTATAATATTCTAAATATAATGTTTGCTTTTTTGGGTCTACATGTGGTGTTCTGTCGTCATCTCCATAGTCATAATAATATGGTGCTGGAGCTGGGTCAGCCAACGTCATACCTGCCATTTCATAAACTCTTAAATATTTCTTTTGTTCGTCTCCATATAAGTTTAAGTAGCAGTTGTTGTCTAATGGAACTTTAACTTGTGTACCATTATTCTTTATATAGCCTACATACATTTCATTGTTATTTTTCGGAATGAGTTTATACCGTATACCATTTTTTAAGGAGTGTACAAACTCCCATCTAAAATATTTGTTTTCTTCATTGACAGAAAAGTCACCAACAATAGTTTCAATATTTTTTGTTGTTCCTATCAAACTTTGGTATATTTCATTGACATATGTTTTATCTGCTTTCTTTTCAAGGCTAACGTTTAAGTCTGTTATTTCAGAAGATGTATGTGTATGTCCAACGCACTTTTCCTGTTTAAGGTTTCTTGTAAGTTTGTAATATTTGCAATGGTATGTGTATGTCCAACGGCACTTTTCCTGTTTAAGGTTTCTTGTAAGTTTGTAATATTTGCAATGGTATGTGTATGTCCAACGGCACTTTTCCTGTTTAAGGTTTCTTGTAAGTTTGTAATATTTGCAATGGTATGTGTATGAGTCTTTTTAGAATATTCGTTTTCAGCTCTTGTCACTTCACTTGACATTTTATTGTCAACATATGTTTTGTCTGCTATCAGGATGAGTATGTTCTTTTGTTGCATAAGCATTGTTAGCTCTTTCTTCTTCTTTTGCTATTGCATCGTCTACATATTCTTTGTCAGCTTTGTTGTCAACATCTGCTTTCAAAAGAAGTTCATTTATAGGTTTCTCGTTTAAAGTTCCTTTGTTGGATTTATACAGACAGTATTGTTCTTATTGTCTTGAAATAGAAACTCATCTGTCATTGGGTTTAATGTCAGTTTTAAGTTTCCTTCTTTCAATGACTCAGATATCTTAGAATAGTTTGAAAAGTTTGTTGTGTTCTTATTTAGAGCTTGCACAATGAGTTGTCGGTTGTGTTGTATTTCTCTCATAGACGCTGTTTCATTCGACATTTTTATTCTAGATAAAATATGCTTCCAATAGAAAAAGAAAATTCAAGAGTTACTACAACTAAACCATTAGATGAACTTTTTACTAATGTCGGTCAAAAGTTTGAGACAGAGACCGTAAAGCATGAAGGCTATCGTTTTGACTACCATTAAGATGGTTAAGAGACCCATCTGTCACAAAAGCTACTTGGCTTTCGTAGAATGAGAGTCATTTCAGAAGCCATACAATGGTTTCCCATTTACGGTCGGTTTTGAAGTTCGATACTATAACAAAGAAAAAACGTATGTATGAGAAATTTGAACAGGGAAACTTTTACAATTAGTTTGCTTGTAAATTTAGAAACAACTCTTCAAGCTTTTCAAGAAAAAATAAACGATATCTATATCGAATATGCAAACCAGTATAACATTGACGAAGGAGAGTACCATCTCGATATTATTTATGACAGGAAAAATGCAACTGTTAAAATCAAATAGAATAGAAGACCTTGGAGAAAACGTTTATATTTCTACAAAATATAACAACTTGGCATGGTATAGATTTTTGAGGATGTTAAATCAGCCTGCAGCATATCCAGTACACCCAGACTTTTATGAAGTCGAAAACCCTAATGGAACATATGAAAATGTTTTCGACCAAGATGCTATTATTGTTCATGCTTCATTTTCTGGCGCCCAAAACTCTTTCTTATGCTTGGCAAATGACTTTTACGAAAAACCTACAAAGTTATACGAACCACCAAGTGGAAGTATTTCAGACTTTCAAGTATGGTTTACTACAGATGGAAGAAAAAGAATAATTCCATTATACCATGCGTTTTACTTAGAACTTAGTTTCATATACAACTACTATCGAACGGTAAAAATATAATTTTTTAATACGGTTGAGGTGTTGGATTTGGTTGCCAACTAGACTGTGGTGCAGGTTCAGGCTGTTGTATAACAGGAGCTTGTTCTTCTGGTTCAGGGTCTTTAGGTATAATACCAACGAACTGACCTACTCTTTTACCAATATTTTTGACTCCGTTCCAAATTCCTCTTCCTACGGTTTTTTATTCCATTCCATATACCTCTTCCAACATTTCGAAAGAAGTTTCCTATCTTACTGAAGAAACCCATTTTACTATATGTAAAAATCTAATGTCCGCCTAGTCTCTTACGTTTCCTGTTGAGTTCCATAGCATTCTTTAACTGGAGCTCATACATTCTGTTTCTCCTCTGGTAGAAAACATATTCTGGGTCAACTCCTGTGTTCGCGTCATCTGCATAAAGTTGTTTATATCCCACCTCAGGGTTTGTATAAAACTCTTTCCATCTCATATTTGCATACCATGGTGGCAAACCTAACGCAGCGTCATTTGACATGGCAGTTTGCATTTGTACATCTGTTGGCACTTGACCATAGTTTGCCATTGCAGTTTGTATTCTAACTTCATTTGGAATATTCTCTGGGTTTGGTTGTCCAGGTTGCTGTGCATTCGCTAAGTTCTGTGCGTCCATTTAATATTAGATAAAAATATCTCTTACGAGTACATATACTGAACATTTGCAGGCATTGGTTCATCTTCATATTCTCTGTACTTTTCTGCCACGTCAAATAAATAAATGACACAATGGAAAAAACCTAAAACAAGTAGTCCTATTTCAAACCACATTTACTTACTAATAAAATTTCTTTGTTATGACACTTTCTCCGGTTTATAGGACCTCTCTCATATTCTATCTTGTCATATATAAACTCATAGTCATGTATGTCTCTCTAACCATCTCATAACGGTTTCCAAACCACTTTTATCGGATGTAAAGTAAAAGCATGGATGGTTATGTAAAACGTCTAAAGTTTCTAAAGAGTCTCTCAAAGTCCAGTCTACTTGGTATTGAAAATCCCATGTGTTATAGAACGGCGGGTCCACTATAAAGAAAACATTTTCCTTGTCTTTATATTTTTCATACAACTCTGTCCAATAACATCTCACAAACTCTATACCCTCAATATATTTTTCTATGTCCTCTTTGAAAACATTTGTATAGTTAAGATATAAAACTTTTGACATAAGTGTTTCAATGTCATGAACTCTTATAGAACCACTATATAATAGTCTAGCAGATATACTATCCCAGTCTATATATTCTGCTTTTTTCAAAACCTCTCTCACAATATTTTTCTTATCTAATGGTAGTTAGTATACAAGTCTTGGGTACGGCGGCACTGCGTTCCACCTTACCCAATACTTGTGAATTTGACACTTTACAAAACCGTTAACGTATATTTTACAACATGAACGCAAAAACTAATTTAACCTTAAATATTTACAAAGCCGCCAACCACTTCACTAACGAACTCACTAATGTAAAAAATAAACGTTCTCACTATCGTTCTCACTAACGACTTCACTAATGTTCTCATAAATTTTCCTCAATATCTTCATCATCAGTGTTAACCCTATTGTAGTCATACTTGAAGCCATAAACTTTCTCTAACTTCTTAACGTACAATTTACATAACTTACCTTCGTCATCGTATGGTTTAATGATATAACTATTTCTATCTTTATACACAGTCAATGAAAAGTCAACTGGTCTCGGATGTATTTGAAAGAACATGTTATGCTCAGGAAGGAAGAATAAATGTTTAAATGTATGTTTGTTATACTGTGGAATTCGAATGAGTTGCTTTTGTTCTGTCATTTACATCCAATAAAAAATTTCAGTAAACTTAAAATAAAATAAAAAATTAATGATATCACCACCCGCACACGTATGAAAACATAGCACAAAAATAAATTTAGGGTAGAAGGTTAGATCTAACCGATATCTAACCTCTTTTCTAACCTGTTGAATTCATTGCTTTATAACTCTCTTCCTTGGTTTCTTTTTAGTTGCTTTCTTCACGTCTGTCTCCAACTTGACTGTCTTTCTTCTTCGTCCGTAATGATACCAGTTACTTCCACCAGTCAATGGGTCAAATGGTCTTTCGTAAGGATTTCCATACATTCCATAGGGACCATACGGAAGAACTACTGGTGGAGAAGAAACATTTTCTTTAGTTCCATCGAATCTATTTAAATGCATTGTTTCACCTTTCATCTGGTCATTAAAGTCTTTTGCGTGTTTTGCAAACTCATCGTCCTTTCCTAAAGCATTTTCTGACTCAGTCGCAACCAAATTGGATGCTTTATTTATGAGCCCTATTTTATTTAATCTTAACTTCTTTGCAACCCAGCCTCCAATCTTCCCTTTATTTGCATCTAATGTCTTCGAAACCCTTCCTCCACTCATTTTATTTACTGCGTCATAAGCCCCAAGTGCTTTTGCTCCAAATGCTAATGCTTTTGTTCCATTGCGCCTAAAGCTGTCCAAGCTACCATTTCACCATATTAAAATCATCTCTCTTCAATATTATCTCATAAAAGTTCTCGTTACTGGAGAAAGTCAATGAAACATAAACATTCTCATTCATAAACTTCTTTCTTATCTCATCTATACGCTTCAAAATGTCTGAACAATTGCTAACATCTTCTACAACAGTTATTTCATCATGAATGACCTTCAAGAACAAGCTCATTTAATATGCTATTAAAATCATCTCAATAATGAGTCCATCCTTTCCATCTTTAGGTAGCACAACATCTTTCATTGAAGAAGGTTCGACAAGTCTTATGTTAACCTTACTGACAAAGTTTGTTATACTATAATGCTTCGGCGGCGAATACATGTAGTTTGAAAGACATAATATAGATTCTTCAGCAAATTCACTTATACTGGATTTTATAACAATGTTCTCACGAGACCAAATACCACCAATTGACAATCTTGTAAGCAATCCTGCTGAACCTTCTACTGTAAACGTCGATGGTAACATTCCACGAAGGTCATCTATTGACATCTTTGAGTCACTGAATTTAAATATTTTCTTAAAGCAATCGTCATTATCTAACCATGCAATAGCTTTGAAGTTTTCATTCGAATATACATCTGCTTCATTAAATGTAAAACCTGACTTCTTTGCAGAGACGACTTTAAAATCTATTGCATTTGTTTCAAAATTATATACTATGGTAACTTCTGAAGGTAATGGATGTCCTTCCGCAGTCAGTTGTTCTCTCACTACCGTTTGAAGCTTTGTGTTAAAAACTT